CGTTCGATACTGATGCGTCTTCATTGTTGCTTTCATGAAGTGAATCATCATCATTGTCTTTCTGGAAATTGACCAATAAATCAACTTTAGTTTTGACCTCTGGAAATTCACCTTTGATAATATCGGCATAACTTTCGAAGCTTTGAATACTGCTTTCTTCATCAGAATCACTTTCTTTTTTGGTGTTATTTTTACTGAAGTTGTCTGGCTCTTTCAAGTTTTGTGGAAGCGATGTCGAAGATATCGATAATTTAGAATATCTAGATAGACGGGAAAGATTCGATTGTGGCGTTTTTGGAACCATTCCTGAGTCGAACGGATCGGCCTCTAGGGCTTTCCTCATATTTCTGTTAATTTTTGGCTGTTTCTCTCCTTTTTGAGTGAGATTTGAATATGAATATTCGTCGTCAGAATCAAGAATTTCGCGGTGAATGAAGCTATTGCGTGGATTGGTCGTCGCCTTGTTTTGGGTGGCTCGTCGCGGGGCGCGCCGTCCTTGGGCACAAGCCGCATTCATGAACGTTATTCGACTTTAAATGTTTGAATAGTTTATTAAGTGAAAAAATGAATTTTCACAGTTTTGTGAACTTATTAATTGATTTTATATTTGGTTAATTAGATAGAATAAAAATATTTCTGAAGAAATTCATATTAAAAAGTGATATTATTTTATTGGATTTTTCTTAGAATAAAAGATTTTATCTCAAAAAACACGTTTTGAAAAAATTCTGAATTGACCAACTTCCGAATAAATTAAGTATTAATTAAATTATTGTAATATCTTGCTAAGTTCTTTCATTAACGTGTATTATTTTTAAATATATATTTTAGTTCATGTATTAAATTAATTTATTTGATAAATATTAGAGAAATACATATGAGAATCTTGATATGAGTAGCTCAAAGAAGATTAACAGTTTTGAGAATTTCATCAAAAAGTGAAAAAAATCAATTAAAAACGTGTAAAATCGTGAATACAATTATCACTGCTAGTTGGATTGATTTCCAGATGATTACCAGTATTTTCAGTGAAAATAATATGGTTTAATAGGGAGTTGAAACCATTAATTGGAAACACAATGAAATTAAGTTGTTTTTCGTGCATTTTGAGGAAAAACTTTTAATAACGGATATTTTATATTGATTGGTTTGAAATTGAATTATTATTCGGTCATCTCTGTGATTTTTTTCTTATCATTTATTCAAGAAATCACCATCATTATTATCTGCTCTGGTTAATTAACCATTAATAATTTTATATTGTAATACAAGCATTCAAATTGCTAGATTGATTTGTCAATGGTATTTTTGTTTGTCAGTGATCATGGTATTTTTCTTTCAAAATTCAAAAGGGTGTCACTTCATTTTTTAAAGATATATGAGAAATTCAAAATTATGCAAATGCCTGTTGTTCCTATAATTAATGATGTTCAAAAGCTTAATAACCATCTGTCAATTAACCAACTTCCTATTGATTCTTCATTGATTATGGAAATCCAAAAATAACATTTTTTATGATGAATCAGAATCATCATATGAAAATGGAAATAGTAATGATGAAAACTATTAAGCATCTGAAAAAAAGACAAAGTTTACAAAATGAAAAGCAATTTATGGAAAAGATATTGAAGCTCAAGCCATAAAAGCTCAAGAAATTAATGAGGAATTACATGGCTTCATTGATCGCCAAAGTAGAGCATATTCTTATCTTATTTTAACAGTTTGAGATTTAATGTGTTAAATTTTAGGGATCATCAATTCGATTGAAGCATATGACAAATTTCGACCTCTTTGAGATAAAAATAAAAATGTGGAAATATCAAGAAACTGCAAGAGGAGTTTTCCAATATTAATTATATACATTGAAGACTATGATGATATCATAATTGGAATTCTACCATACATTGCATTATGTGATTCGAATGTGAAGCCGTTAGAAATCATGCCATTTTCATAAATATTTTCCCGTAGTAGTTACAATATTGTTTGTTGCAGTGATATATATTTTATTATATTTTCAATATATTATTCAAAGTCATTCCTAATATCACTAAATAAAGATGAATTTCATACGAAAATGATCGCATTAAATCTTTCAGAAAATTACTTTACTATTTATATAACATACTTTACTCAAATCGCCAATTATTCTAATTAATATACCCAAAGACTTCTAACAAATGGATGAATATAAAGAAGTAAAATAGTTAATGAAGACATTTGAAAAAAAGTGATGATCGACTTCTAACACTGGACCGATGACTTTGATAAGCCGATAATCGTCTCTAGTTAGAAATCGACCTTCTTTTGGTGGAGTTATTGCTCATTATAAAAATTTCCATATTTCATCTATTCACTGACTCGACAATTTTGATGTAAGATTGTATTCATATATGATGCAAATAACAAAAGATATGAAGTTAGGCAATCACCAGAAAATGTGAATCATAACTTTTTTTCATTTTTAAATTTTTCTTGATTCAATGAGTTCAACAATTTTTTTATATCGGTTACGTTTGGCCTCAGATAATGGATTATAATCAATTGTTATTATTAACTCCAGAATTTAAATATAAATTGACAATATTCTTAATCTTGCTATCTACAGATGGGATTTTAAGTAAAATATCAACAATAATAACATTATTAAGCCTGACAGCCAGATTCAAGGGAGTTTCATGAATGAAAATGTAAAACTAGATCATAAATAATCATAACTTGATTAAATACTTATAAAAATTGTATTTTGTTTATTTACATTGGTTCTAATGTCATTTATTAGAAGTTTGACGATTTCTACTCTATTTTCAATAATTGAAATATGAAGAGCTGTATTATTAATCAATGTATTAACTCCACTCAAATTTTGCATATTTATGTCCAGATTTTTATATTCTAACAGTAATTTTACAGCTTCAATATTATTTTTCTTGCATGCATATATTAATAATGAATAACCATTGCGGTTATAATAATTAATATTTGCATTTGGCGATTTTAACAATTGGTGAAATATTATATGATTATCATTCTCAATTCCTAAAAATAGCGGTGTAAGAAGAGAAGATGAAGCTATATTTACGTCCGCACCATTATCTAAAAATAACTTAATAAAATTGCTAATTAAATGTATATTTTCGTTACTATTATTAGGGGAGATTCTCTTGTGTAGTTCAAGTAAAGCCATTGAGTTTATAGTTTGGCATAATACAAACAGAGGGGATTGATTATCATTACAAACACTATTTATGTTAATTTTTTTCAAGCTAATTAAATACTTGGCAGTTTCATAGCATAGATTTAAGCAGGCAATATGGAGAGGGTTATAGGAATTATATGAGAGATGAGAAATATTAATACTCTTACTATAGAGAAGTTTCGCATAATATACATTATTTGTTTCACATGCACATAAAAATGGTGTCATCCCAAAAGCATTACTTGTATCAAAATCAATATCATTTCGACTCAACAGTAATGTAATTATCCTTTTTGAGGTAAAAGGATATATTCGATGTAAAATACTGTTTTTTCCACTTTTCGAAACGAAGTTAAGATTAGTATTTGGGAAATTAGTTAAAAATGAGGTTAGACAATAATTATTATATTTCACTGAGGAATACAGCATTTTCGATAATATATTCTTATCATTTTTTGAAATGAATTCTTGAAGAAACTTGATGATAAATTCATTTGCATGATATTTAATTATATATTTATAATCAAGTTGGCACTGCTTTGTTTCGATGAGCCATGAAATCATATCATAGTGCCTATATTTCACTGCATATTTTATGCAATCGTTAAAACTGCAATTATGTTGTTCACACAAATGAAGAATTTCGATATTTCCGCCAGAAACTGCATATAGAACAAGAGATTGAGGTAAACTATCTATATGAATTAAAAGATATTTAAATATTTTAATGGATCCAAAAAATGCCGCATATTCAATCAAAGTGGGATTCTCTTGTGGATTAGGCATAATTTTTGTAATTCCTATAGATTCAATACGACTATTAAGTTTGAACGCTGGACTAGAACAAATATTTTGAAATTTATCACAATCATCATTTCGAATAATCAATGATAATTCATTTTCTTCAGGAATATTAATGGCCTGTCTATTTTCATTATGTTTCCCTTCAAAACCATAATCAAAAATATAAGCCAAAATAGAACATTCCTCGATATTTGAGTGTTTATTGGCATTTTGTTCAAGCATGATAAGATATTCAACAAACTCATTAGTCATCTGTAAACTATCAATCAAATTCAAATATCTTCGAATGACAAGTGGGTGTGCCTGACAAAATAAATAAGTTGAATAAAAAAATTGATTCTGTTCATAATGAATTAAATTTTCTCTGTGTTTTTTAACAAAAGAATCAAGATATCTAGAATCATCAATCAATAGATTTTGATCAAAACTATTAATTTTATCTTGTGATAATTCTTCCAATATTTCTTGGATTTCTTCACTTTCGTTAAAATGCTTAAGAAATTGGGTTTTGATGTTTAAATTCAATGATTTTTCAAATGTTTGAATAGCATGCGATAATAATTCAATTTCTAGTTCTTTGGAAATCTTTTTGAGATTTTCGTAATTAAAACAGTTGATTTCTAAGGTTTTCATATGAAAAAGTTTGTTGAGATTTTCGATGTCGAATTTGGTGATTCCATCAATTTCAACAGTGAAGATTTCATTTCCAGAGTTTTTTGTGTTTATAAAATCAGATATTTTCTGAGAGTACAAAGAAACAATGTTTTTATTAAAACGAATTGTGATTCCATTAATTTTCATTCGGGAATTGTATGGAAATGAGAACTGAAAATTTGATTGAAAATCAAGATCAAATCCGAATTTAAAAACAGCTTTCAAATGAATTTCATCAAGAATAGAAGCAGGCATAATTTATGATCAATAAAGCACGTTTAATAATATTGATGCAATTAATTCAAATTAGATTACAAAATTCACAAAAGTTTACCAAACAGGTGCTTCTCTAGCTTAGTGGTTATAGCGTTCGCCTAGTAAGCGGAAGGTCGCGCGTTCGACTCGCGCGAGAAGCATTTTTTCTTCTTTTTCTATTCCTTCTTTGTTTTTTCTTTTCATTTTATCTTTTTCTAGATTAGTGATTTCGAGCATTTAAATAATTTCTATTGCTTTCACAGTAACTTACTTGATACTATATTCTATTATGTAATTCATGAGATAAATCCAAGCATTTTTCATTTTTTTATACATCAGTTCGATTTTATTTTTTTAAATGTATATTTTCATAACTACTCTAATTTATTGTCAGTTTTTATGAAAATCATCGCCCTAAAAAATTGCGAGCATTTTGGAGGTGACAAGCTTCAACACCCTCTGATTTTTATGAAGATAGCATTTCAGTATTTATTTGGTCATCGAACCTCCATTTGTGAATTTCTTACGAAACGAATATAAAGTGGTAATAAGTGATTAATAGAATATCTTCTGAATATTAGTGATATTTCTAAAAAATTTTAAATTTCGCACCTGTGATTATATCCAGATCGGAATTCTTGGTAATGATTAATGATTAATTAAATGCCAGGATAATGCATCATATTCTATTATTTTGATTTGAAGATCCAGTTTAACAGTCTATTTCAAAAAAACTGAATGAGGAAAATCATTCTGGGATCTGAATTCTTTTTCTTAAAAATTAATTGATAACCGAATAATTATTAAATCATATGTTACTTGACGGATAAATGTTGACTTCACGAAAAACTATTCGGATTTTTTTGAAAAATATCGGGAAATCGATTTTTATTTTTTTAGTTCTTTGATTCCCTATCATTATTCAACAAATTATAAGCATGGTTATTCATTTGTACAGGTTTTGAATTAATATTTCACGATGAGGAAATTGGAAATCATGTTTTTTGCTAATTTTTTCAATATTCACATAATATTTACCTTCCATTTAACGTAGCATTATGAATTGATGTTATGCCAAAGTGGTGTATAATTCAACTCATTAATTTATATATTATTTTTGCTGAAACGTACTTTTCTTTCAAAAATCCCTGGCATTTTTTTTATTCATTTCCTTATAGACTGATTTAAATAAGTTTGGAATACATCCAGTCATTTCTTAGATAAGTCAAGAAGTGAACTCATAATGCTTGCCATTGAATCAAAATTAATTCTGAACAAATATATCCAATTGAATTATCCAGATTTACTAAACTTATTATGAGATAAAATCGGTTAAATATATTTTAACAATCATTTTAATTAGAAAATATAAATAAATAAATCATTTGTCCATATAAAATTTCGAGATATAATAATTATATCTTCACTTATTATTTCAATGACCTAAGAAAATCTTCGAATTTTTGTTTGGGTAATATTTCCAAAGCTTTTATTTTTTTCACTTAGTAGAAGGATGCTTGATTCTATTAATATTTCACAGGAATATATTAATGCTTCTTTAATCATTATGATGAAAATTAAACCATATAAAGGCATTTTTTATTACATTGAATGATATGTATAGAAAAAATTGAATGATTTGAATATGAATTTTATTAGAAAAAAATGCAAATTTTCGAATTCTTTCAATTCAACCACTCAAGAATTAATAAACTGCCTCATTTTTCTGATAGCTTCTCTTTTTTCATTTTTGGTCGAACTACACAATGAAAAAAAATGGTGGAATGCATACCTCTAATTGGAAAACGATATTCGTAATTGGTGAAAATGAAAAAGATATTCTCGATAGATACGATCTGCACTTCAATGGATCATTAACAACTAAAATAAGACGCCAAAAAAGAAGGAAGTTGATTGATCCAAATGATGAAAGAAGAAAGAAAAAATTGCATGTCTTCAAATTTGATGTTGAAAAAATGATAAATGATAGACAACAAAGCAATTTTGAAAGCTTCGACAAGTTTGAAATTAAATCTTTATCAATAGATATTCAAAGAGATGACTCCACTTTTCTTGACACAAATTTTGAGGAATCAGATTTTTTATTCCATGATGATATGATGGATATGAAATTAAGTGATGATTTGTTAGATGAGAGAAATGTTCACCTTCTTCTCTGATTAATCAAATCATGAATAATAATTGTTCATGAGAACATGTTTTTTCTTTCTAGACAATAACAGGAAAAAACACTATAATACTTTGAATAAATCGCTTTAATGAGAAAAGCTTTAGCAAATAATTTTCTTCCAAATATTGAATCCACATTTTAGGCGACTTCTTCTTCTTTCTTGATAAAACTCACAAAAATATTTAAAGATTTACAAATATATAATGCATTTCATGAATATAATATCATATTATTCTACGAATCAAAAAATAGACGTTCGTTCTCAGAATTTGAAAAATCCTTTAGAATATCAAATTCCTTTTCATGAAACTGATAGATGTTATCACACCCATAAGAAATAATTCGATTATTTCAAAAATACAAAAAAGTGAAAGTATTTAAACCTTTGATATATATGATTCATATATGTATTTTTTAGAGGATTTTCCTGTATTTTTTTCTATCTATAGAAAGATATGGATTTATGTGAACAAATTGCATATTCACTAACAACCTTAATCAAACAGAATTTTTGATTTTCAATTCGAAAATCATTAAGTGTTATATAGGGACTCATAAAAAAATTAACATTATTTATGAAATTCTGTATATAGGATTGTTAACAATTGATTCATTGTGAATAAAAAAATTAATATATTTATTCATTTTGATCATATAAAACCTGTCCTATAATATCATCAACTTGCTGTGATAAAAGCAATATTTTCTTTTCTGTCACCTTAAACGGAAGTTCTTTTGTATAATTTAGTTCTTCATAAAGAGAGAAATAATGAGCATCTTCTTCATGTAGCATTCTTGTTTCATTTTTAGGAAATGATGATAGCAATGGTGTTTTATTTTCATTCATTCTATGATATTGTGTATCTCTAACTAATGTATGAAACCGCCCTTTTGATGTAAAACGATATGGCATTTGGGAATTTGCTCGTGCTACTAAATCATTATCATTTAAACCATTCACCTTATGATTTGAAGATTCCAAATTGACTTCTTTAATCAGTTTAAATGATATTAAACAATGAAATAATGACTCATAATCACAATTTTGTAACTTGCTAGAAAAATCTAAGTCATTAAAATCTTGAATAGTTGTTAAATCTAATAATGAATCTCCATATGTGGAATATCCTCGTCCTGAATTATCTTCAAGTCTAATAGAAAAGCGCAACAGAAAAGGACGTCGAGAATGTGATTTATGTGGCATTTTCCAAATAAGATTGATTTCTTCATCCCATTTAGCTTTATTATCTACTATAGCGACTTGTGATGAATTCATTGTTGTTCTTCCTTGTTTTATATGAACATTGATCCTTGTTGCTTGAGTTGGAATCTCACTAAGTTGCATTTTCTTGATTGTTATTTGAGAAACTATTCCTGGCTTGAATATAGAGCTAAAAAATGTTCGAAAGGAATTTCGTGTTTTTTTACTATCTTGATTTTCTTCCATTGAAATAAATTGTAAATCATTCAAAAACATATGTCACTCTGATACACTTTCTTCCGAAAAGAGGAGATTTAACAATAAAGTATAAAGATAACAATAAAGAACAAAAATAACAATAAAGAACAAAGATAACAACAAAGAACATTTTTAGATAAAAACATTGAATTAATATAAAGATAATACATAAAATTCATAATTATTTATATTGATTTGAGATAACAATATAAAATTAAAACAGTATTATATCGGCAATTAATTTCGTTAATATATAAATTTGATACATGATAAAATATTATTAGTTTCATAGAAAATAATAACCAAATAACCTCTAAAAAATTCATAATTACCTGTGAATTGGGCTCAATAAGATGTGACCACAGTTGACTTAATGGTATTTTCAAGTTCATATTAATTAGAATATGATTACCTTACCAAATATAAATGTGAATGAGAAAATTGAATACTAATTTTGGATTATTTGAGCTTCTGTCGTCTGTAGAGGAACTGGTGGAGGATTGCTCTTCCCGCACTACTTGTGGCCTTTTTAGGTGCAGAAGATTTCTGGAATTTCACCTTCTTTGGTCCCAGGGGCTTAAGATCTTTTGCACTCTTGATGGATGACTGGAGTGGAAGCTGTGGAGCAATTGGGAGATCAGGATGTCCATTTTGTTTAGAGTGATAAGCAGGAGGAGGATTGTTCATGTTTGGATCGGTGAAATGATTGTTGGTGACATTGGGTGGTGGAATTGGATTGTTATTGGAATTTGACTGAATACTTGGTTGAGTATTCGATTGATTGATATAGCTACCAGAAGAAAGATTAGAGTTTTGATCAATGGGCTTAGAAAGATTAGTATTATGGCAAGTTGTTGGTGGTACAATTGGTTCATTTTGAGTGATCAAGCTTACCAGGCTAACGGGCTTAGTTCCACTTTCATAGTCTGAATTAAAGTAAATGCTTGTATCGACAGCATCATCTGTTTGAACATATATTTGAGTAGTCATATCATTCGTTTCAGCCATTCCGTTGACCCAAATTCTCGGACTGTAAATTATGGGACTATTAATTCTAGGACTGTAAATTCTCGGGCTGTGCTGCATTTTCATTCCGTCTGGGCCAATGGCGCCTTTTCCTGTTTCAATTTGTGGCTTGTAGATCATAGTCTTTGCCTTCAAAACCGACGCACAGTTTGACGAACGACTGTTGGAGATCCATGGATGCTTCACCACGTCTTGGATTGTAATTCTTTGCTTGTAATTCTTTTCCAGAAGCCTCTGCAGAAGATCTATGTAGTCGAAGTTGTCAAGGAATTCCAATTGTTGATAAACGATTGAGTTCGTCAGCTCTGTTGGGTCGTCTTCGCTAAATGGGAGGTTTCTGTACAGGAGAGCAAAGAGGCAGACACCGGAGCTCCAAACATCGATGGCCTGCGTGTATGACGACGGCCTTTCGACGAAGATCTCAGGGGCGGCGTACGGAAGCGAGCCGCACTTCCTGGACATTGACGCGGTATCGTCTTTCTGGC